CACCCTAACCCGTATCCCCTCCCAACCACCCAAACCACCACCCACCTCGCAAGATCTACAAACCACCCACCACTCACCTCGCCATTCTACACCCTTCCAAACCACCACCGAAACCACCTAAAAAAACATCAAAAAACCACCCAAAAAACGAAGTAATTCGAAAAAATTTCAAAAAAAAAACCGAAGTAATTCGAAAAAAATAACGAAGAAATTTGACCTAGAAATTCCATCAACGAAGTAATTTTAAGTTACAAAACCCATAAATTCCATCACAAAACGTAAAAAACGAAAAAAAATCGAGGTAATTTCAAATTACAAAACCCAGAAATTCCATCACAAAACCCAAAAACTCTTTAATGTTCCAAGCAAAACCCGAAAAAAATATAGAGAAAGAGAATAGACTATTTACCTTTAATTCCTTCAAAACCCCTAAATTGGCTTGAATTTGGGTTTTAAAGGTCAAATTCGACCATGAAAACTCTAGATCTAGGGTTTTCATGGTCGAATTTGACATGAAAAACCTTATTTTGTTCTTTGAAAAACCTTGAGATGGCGGTGGTGGTGTGTTGGTTACGTAGGGGCGGTGGTGCGTGGTGTTGGTTGCGCTGCGGCGGTGGAGAAGGAGAACATAAACAAAGGAAGGAGAAGGAGAAGAAAGAGAAAGAGAGGGCGGAGGAGAGAGAAACGAAGGAAGGAGAAGATGAAGAGAGAGAAAGAGAGGGCGGAGGAGAGAGAAACGAAGGAAGGAGAAGGAGATCTGAGAGAAGGGGGAGGTTAGAGAAGGAGAAGAGAGAGAAAGAGGAGTGGAGAGGAGAAAGAGAAAAAGAAAAGATCAGAGAGTTGTGGGTTGGTTTTTTTTTTTTTATATAAGAATTTTCCGACGGAATAATAATCCGTCGGAATATTTGGGATTTCCGAGGGAATATTCCGTCTGAAATTTCCGACGGATTTTAATTTCGTCGGAAATTTAACTTTCCGATGGAATATTTTGTCGGAAGCCTATAGTTCCAAGGGAATTAATTTTCGTCACAAGAATTCTGAGGGATTTTCCGTCGTAACGTACCTTTTCCGACAGAATTTTCTGATAGACCCTAATTCCGTCGAAAAGTTCGAATTTTCCGACGGAATTTAGGTCCGTTGAAACGATTTCGTCGGAAAACGACCTATTTCTAGTAGTGCGTTCAGCTATGTCGTGTGAGGTTCGTCTCCGTTGCCCAGCTCTCTCGCGTTGGGTTGAATTCTGTTACTATTCTCCTGCCTGATTGTATTATGGGGAGCATACCTTATGGTCATGTCAAGGAGTGCAGCAGGGTGATCCTCTTGGCCCTTTGCCTTTTTGCTTTGGTTCTTCATCCGTTGGTGTGCCGAATCAGGGATTCTTTTGACTTATGTTTGCACGCTTGGTATTTGGATGACGAATTATTATTGGTGACACCTTAGTAGTAGGTAAGGTTATAGAGTTGATTTTGGCGGAGGGACCTCGTCTCGGCCTCCATGTCAACGTTGAGAAAATAGAAGTTTACTGGCCCTCGGAGGACTCTCGTAGCCGTCTCGTAGGTGTCTTTCCTCCAGATATTGCTCGTCATGTGCATGGTGTTAAGTTGCTTGGTGGTCCTGTTAGTGCGGATTCCTTGGTGAGATTGTTTCACAGAGAGTATCGAAGACCATTGTGCTAATGGATGTTGTTGCTAAGCTCGATGATCCCCAATGTGAGTTGTTACTTCTTCGTGCGTGTACCGGGGTTTCCAAACTCTACTGTGTTATGCGCACTTGTTCCCCTCGTCTTTTTGAAGCGGCCCAGAATTCTTTTGATGTGGCTCTTCGGGCTTCTTTGGAGCGCATTGTCACTGCTTCGGGGCCTGGTTTTGGTGATTGGCAATGGCAACTTGCCACCTTACCTTTTGCTTATGGTGGATCGGGTGTCTATTCAGCGGGTGATGTTCGACACTATACTTTCCTTGCGTCGCATTTGCAGTCTTCTGGTCTTCAGGCTATGCTTCTTCACAATTCTAGTATTGTTGGTCCAGGACCGGCCTTCGATGGTGCTCTTAGTCTTTTTAATAGGAATGTGGAGACTGACCTTATGAGTAACCCTAGTGAGATTGCTGCCCCCAAACTCATGAAGAAATTGGCAAATATATATTTCACGAAGGTCACCGCATTTGCAGAATCCACTTTCTCCTTATCTCTGGGTTAGGTTGCCTTATGGAAGTCCCAGCAGGGGGATCACACTTCGGCCTGGTTGCGAGCGGTCCCGATATTAGGTTTGGGTCAGACTATGAATGGTAAGACTTACCGTTGTGTTCTTTGCTACCGATTGGGTGTTCCTTTGTTCTCGGTTTCAACACTGTGTTCTGCTTGCGCAAGGGTTTTTGATGGGGATATTTATGAGGATCATGCAGTGTCTTGTGTTGGGATGGTGGGTATTAAACATCGGCACAACGTTATCCGTGACACCCTTGTTGATATTTGTTTTTGGTTTGGGATTTCTGCAAGAAAGGAGGTTAATGTTGGGTTAACTGGAGGGAACAACGGGGCTCTTCGACCATCAGATGTGTTGCTTTATTCCAGGGATATAGGACTTGATGTATGTGTTGACTTGACGGGGTCTTCTCCTTTGACTCAATCTGGTTTGTCTGACTTCGTTCCTTGTCGTGTTGTGTCGGCTGCGGCTCAGTGGAAGCGGGATAAGTATGGGGAGCGTTGCAGGGCTATTGGCTATAGTTTTCTTCCTTTCTCCTTTTCTTCATTGGGGGAATTAGAGAAGGATGTTGTTGCGTTGCTGAAGCGGTTTCATGCGTTCGCTAGGACTCAGGATATCGGTGCTCGTGCAGCTGCTCACATCTTCAACAGGATCGGGTTCGCTATAGGTAGAGCGGTGGGGGCCCAGATTATATCTTGGCTCCCCACTAATTTCTTGTAAATCGATTGACTTTGTAGGTTTTTGTTATTTTTGACAATTAGCACCTACACTAGTTGTTGTTTTAGGAATTGCCAACTACAAATTTTTTTTTTTTTTTTATTTATTTATTTTTTTTTTAATTTACCACCTATATTTTTCCAAAACACTAAAACTTCCCACCACTTTAACCAACCCCTCAAAGATGACATCATCCTTGCTATTTTCCTCCGTTTTCTTTCTTCTTCACTCGATTTTCACTTCCCTCTTCTTCCACTTCCATCTAAATTGAGGCATAGCTTGAAATCGAATTGCTAGAAACAAAATTTAGGTTTTAATAATAATTAATCTTGCTTCACCGTTTGCTTAATTACTAGGTTTAGGTACTTAATTTCGGGGTTTGCAATTGAATTAAGGGTTTAGGCTTTTCACTTTGAGAATTTTATTATCGGTTTAGGGTTTTTGATTTGGGAATTTAATTACTGGTTTAGGGTTTGGGATTAATTTGGGGGTTTTCAATTGCATTGAGTTTAGGGTTTAGAGTTTTCAATTTGATTACAACTAAACGAAAATTGATTAAACCCTAATTCTAATTGATTGATTTCAACAACATAATCAAATTTCAAATTGATTAAATCTTATATAAATTGAAAAACTCCTATATTAAGTCGTTCAGAACATGAATATAGCATAAATACCTTTTTTTCGTAACTGCATTGGAGATTTGAAGCAATAACAATGAATTTCGAAACCCTAATTTTTTATTTTAGCAATTTAATTTTAGTATTTGTGCAAAATTAAAAAGGAGATGAAGTAGAAAGACTGAATATCGAAAGAGGAAGGAAGGAAAATGAGGGAAAGACCGTTTGTGGGTCCCACCATGACGTCATCTTTCAAAATGGTGGGAAGTTTTATCATTTTTATAAAAAGTAGGTGGTAAATTTTAATAAAAAAAGATGTAGCTGGTAATTTCTAAAACAGCAACAATTGTAGGTGGTAACTGTCAAAACATGCTAATAATAATTATGAATTGATACAAGGCATGCAAGGAAACTAATTTGCGCAATATGTAAATCTAGACTAGCTTTATATATGGTTGGTCACACGATGTGACTAGTCATCATGGGGTTACTCTGTTACAATTTTAGGAGTTAATTTGTAATTTAATGAGTACTCAATAAATATAATAAGGAATTACTCTATTTTTTTACAAGCGACTACACAATCAAAGCCACATACAAACGCGTTGATAAATCTATATTAACCGTTCACATGTTATTTTATTTTAATTAATCCGATCCAAACATGCAAGTATAGTTCCCAATTTCATGTTTGTCTCATTATCATAAACTATAAAATTTACATGTACTAAACTAAATAAATTCAGTCACTTTGAGCATTTTTTTTTATTCATGTTTGATATGTAATATTCCACAAGTCCTTTATAATATTGCACCAAAAACACATATGTCCCTTGTAGTTAATAAATATCCTCATATTCTCCTAATCTCATTTGACAAAATTTATCTTATTTATTCAATTAAGCAATGTTATTATTTTATTATTATTATAGAGCAATAACGTAAGGAATTAATTTAATAAAATATTTTGATATAGTTAGATAATATTTGTTTACTTAATGGGAGTTTTGATAGATAAATTGGTCTAAACTATTTTCGGATTTAAATTGTTGTTATACACATAAGCACATGTATTGAAAAGGAGTACCCCTACCATTCTAAGGGCTCGTTTGGTTGAATGTAAGAATTGCAAATTATTTGGAAATTTAATTTTCCATGTAATTATTTTATTATTTTTAGAAATTTAATAACACAAAGCCAGAGATAGCTAGGAATTTGATTTATATTTTTCCACGATAATTATTATATTATGATTTTTGTAAACCATGCATTGAAGTATCGAACACAAAGCACAATCACCATACTGATCGATTAAAAGAAGAGGTAGACCCATTTTATCACTTTGATAAACAAAATTCGTTTATCAAGTGGAAAAATCGTAAACAATTCAACACAAATGTCCATTTAACATGACATTGTCATAATTACATCAATAATAATTGTAAATCAATAATAACTGTAAGGTCCATATTTAATAAAATGATGCGAATGTATTTATAGTTTTGCCTTGATAAATAAAATGACAAAAACGGAGTATGAGTGTATGACCTACAACAATAATTTCACAATCCAATAACTCCACCACTCAATTACCCAACATAATTCCAACAGCAAAGCAAAGCAAAGCTGAGTCACTGAATTCTTGTTAACATTACCAAAAATTAGAAAAAAATAAAGGCCAAAAAAATGCAAACATTGGTAGATTATGGTACATTTTTCAAGCACAAGCCAAGCCTTAATTACTTGTGTTTCACCAAAAACAACAGCTCAAACTATTGCTCAAAAATAGGTGTACTTGGAAACAACAATAAACACATCTACAATAATGATGAAAAATACTTAGAGGTTGATCTTAAAAAAGAGCTTATTCCAAAACATGTTGCAATAATATTAGATGGTAGTAGGAGGTGGCTTAAGGCTCAAGGAAAACCTCTAAATTATGATCCTTTCTTTCAAGCTAACACCCTCTTTGCTGACCTTTGCCTTAAATGGGGTGTTTCTACAGCCACCACTTTTATTTATTCTTTCAAAAACCTACAAAGAGGCCAAGTAAGTGTTCCTTTATCATCTTCTTTGATTATTATTTCATCAATGTTTGCTCATCTTAATCTATCTAGCTAGCTTAAGCTGCTAGATCTCTTTGTCCTTTGTATTGTTGAGATTATGGCCTTGTTTGGTAATCAGCGTGAAGCTAGTTTGGTTGCTAAAATTTGGTTGTTTTTGTTGGTTTACTATGATTGCGTTAATTATTATTATTATTATTTTTTGACTAATTAATGGTATTAGTTGTTTGTTCAATTGTGTTCCATGTTAGTGTGATTTTGACTTTAAGTATTTTACTGACTTTATGTTATTTAGAGCTGATTGTTGTAAGTTTAATGTTTTTATAATTATAATTTGGAAGAAGAAATAATTCATTTTTGTTTCTTTTCCTCTATAGTCCATAATTGATTTAACTATTAGATTGATGGATCATTGCTGGTTGATAAAAATACTAGTTTTTTATGCATGCAATGCATGCTGATTTTTAAAATGCATGCATGTCAACTATATTAAATTATTATATAATGTTGTAGTAGAATCCTTACTCGACCTTAATTTTAAAGTACCCTAAGGTCCCTAATTAAGGCCCTGTTCACTTCACCTTACAAAAATAATATTAAGTAAAAATAACTTAAGTTCAGTAAAAATAAGTTCAGTTCAGTAAAAATAATTTCATTTCAATAAAAATAATTTCAGTTCAGCAAAAATAATTTCAGTTCAGTAAAAATAATTTTAGTTCAGCAAAAATAATTTAAGTTCAGCAAAAATAATTTCATTTTAGTAAAAATAATTTAAGTTCAACAAAAATAAGGTGGAGTGAACGGGGCCTAATAGTTGTATTTTTCTTGAGTCTTCTATTATAAATGATTAATTGTAAAAAAAGAAGAAAAAAACATGATTAATTTCAAAAAAAAAATAATTCAAATTTAAAAAACATTTATAACAACCCAATGATATGCTTTTCCATGTCAAATAAGGCTTTACCACTTCTATAAAGTTTTATTGCATTAAGATCATAACATTGCATGAAACTGTTTCAAATGCAATTTGAAACTACGTATTAGCAATTCATAATGTATGACCAAAGAAATTAGATTTTACAGAAGCATCACAGTTATTACTAATAGATATAATGTGAAAAATATTGACAATCTCACATCTATAAAAAAAATACAAAATAAATGATTAAAGAAATTGAATTTTATACTACAAGGCGGACTTTTTTTTTTTTTTTTTTTTTCTTATTATTATTAATATTATATTACGGAGCATTTATTTATTTTGGATCCAACTAAAAAATGCCCCTTTGATTTAATCATGTGTATCAGTGTAATATTAATGTTTGTTTTAGTTTAATATTTTCATTTTTTTTTAATCTCATATAGGACCTTGAGACATAAATAATTGATCATTGTTATTTGATCCAGCTTCATTCCAATAAATTTTCTTCCGATTGAATTGCAGGAGGCCAACGATCTATTATTCGGGCAGCTTGAAAAATATTTAGAGAGTAATCTGCAGAATTTTGTAAGGTACTGTATTGATTTACCATTATGGGCTTATGGCAGCACCCTATAATCTTAATTATTACTTTATTAGTTTGCAAATCATGCTAATTATCTTTATGTATCCTTTTGTAGGTGTAGTTGGTGCATGTAAAATGTTTCTTATGGTTTATATATATATATATATATATTTTTTTTTTGAAACATCTTATAGTTTATATTGTGGAACAAAAGTTACATATTTCCGTTTGTTGATTGGTTCTAAATGAGTGTACGTAACAGTTTGTTTCAAAGCACTCGCACATTTACTAGTACATAATTTTAACCTTTAATATATGCTTCATATATATTTAACTTTAAATTACATTAGTAGAGATTATAAAAGTTGATTTTTGATCACTAATCTTAAATTACAACATATTGTAGATATATTATTTTTATTATCTCTATTATGTAAGCCAAAGGTGGAAGGGGTGGTTAATTTAAAGGTGGTTTATTTGTTTAAGTTATTCATTACATTACATTATTTACATGTTTGCTATGAAATTGAAGGAAAGAAATAAAAGTTTCGATGATTGGAGAAAGATTGGTACTCCCCAAGTCATTACAAGACATTATAAAACAAGTGGAAGATGTAACAAGAACAAAGCACACAGATAAGCTGGACTTAATGTTAGCAATATGTTATTCTGGGACTAGAGATATATTGCAAGCTACTAGGAACATTTGTGAAAAGGTCAAGGCTGGGGTGATCGAACCCAAAGCCATTGACGAGACCTTGTTTGATCAAGAGCTATGGACTCGTGGCGCGCCTCACCCTGATCTGCTCATTCGAACTGGTGGTCGCCTCCGTGTTAGTGATTATTTGATGTGGCAGTTAGCCCAAACCGAGCTGTACTTCTCCCAAGTTTCCGCACCGGAATTTGGAGAAGCTGAGTTCCTCCAAGCCTTGCGCCCCTTTCAGCGAAGGGAAAGGACATTTGGAAGTGATCATATGTTATAATTTGCACAAAAGGTTATTTGAAAATAATATGGTAGAGGGGGGTATATCATGTGCATGATACACTCGGAAGTACATTACATATAAATAAAAGAACATTAGGACAAATTTAATGTTATTTTATTTATATGTAATGTTCCTTTTTTTTGAAGCCTCATTCATATGTAATGTTCTTTATTTTATATGTAATATTCATTTCACCCATTCATTTCCTCTCTCTTCGATACTCTCTCTCCTCTCCCTCTAACTTCTTCTTCCATTTTATTTCTTGATTTATATAGTTTTTATGTGCTTATACTAGATTTTACACTTCAAAATCTGAATTTCACAACCAAATTTTCGGATTTTTCATGATTTGAGAATTTTGGTTTTATTTTGGCTAAAACTTGCAATTGAGTGTTCAACTTGCTATCTCCACTATTAATTCACTTTATAAGGGTTTTCTACTCATTTGAGGTATGGCTTCTCTTTCTTTGTTCATCTTTGTTCTACTTCATGAATATGAAATCTTAGGTTGTGCTTCAATAGTGAACTCTCTCTTTGTTTGTTATTTTTACCTATATTTTGTATTTTGTGATAATGTTTGTTGTTTATATAAAGCTTTATTATCATGAAATTACTTGACTGTTTGAATTTTTGGCACTACCATTGTTTTTAACCATCTTCTTCCATGGGTTTGGGTAGTAGCATTTTTTATAAGGATAATTTGTAAATTACCACCCAAAAATGAGACCATTTTTTATATAACCAACCAAAACAATTTTATTTTTATTTTACCACCCCTTAAATTAAATAACCGCTCAGATTACCATCCTTCCGGTGGGTTTTCCGTCTGTGGGCCCCACCTAACGGCTAGTAACAACTATTTTTTTTCTTTCTAATTCATTTCCTCCCCGATTTTTTTCCCATAAAACACTTCCCTTAAATCAAATAGCAATTTCTTCTTCAATTTCTCCCAAAATCCCAGAAAAAAGACTTCCTCTAATTGCAGACGCATCCCCTAGAAAGACAGCAGCTGAATTCGCAACAAGTATTCTTATTTTTTAAAAAAAAAAAATTAGGGTTCTTGTTGCACTGTAATTGGGGAAAATTGGGGGATTAGTTTATTGTTTTCCGGTTTAGTAGCCATTTGTGAACCCCTAAAAAGCTTGATAGTAAACGAGCACTGAGCATCATATCCATAGCAAATTAATTTCAGAAAACCCCCAAGTCAATTAAAATAGGAACTCTAATTTAAGAAAACCCCCAATTCAATTGAACCATGAATAATTGGGAATTTCTGAAATTAAGTTCCTACTTCAATTATCATGGGTTTGGTTGGGTTTCAACAGGGAAGGTGGGGTTTCGATGGGTTGGGTGGGGTTTCGATGGGGTGGGTTTGCCATAATTTATGGTGGAGAAAGGAAGGAGGAAAGAGAAAGGGAGGGGTGGTCGGAGGAGGTGGGCTGTCGGAAGTTTAGTGGTAGAGGGGGGTGGTTTGTGGGTTGGGGGAGGGGAATGGGTAGGTTTCGGGATGGGGGAAGGAATAGATTTTCGATGGTGGGCCTCGGAACGGAAAAATTCCGGTGGTGGAGATAGGGGTTCGAGGGCTGCTGGAGGTGGAGGTGCATGTGGTGGGCGGAGGTCTGGCCGGAAATGGAGCCTGCTTTCATGGAGGTGGAAAAGGAAGAAGAAGAATGGGAAAAAAGGAATTTGGAAGGATTTAAGAGGGTAGGAAGAAGGTAGGAAGATGGAGAGAGAAAAAATCGGGGGGGAAATCAGTCAAAAGGGTCAAAATAGCCGTTAGGTGGGGCCCACAGACAGAAAACCCACCGGAATTTTGAAATGGGTGGTAATTTGAGCGGTTATTTAATTTAAGGAGTGGTAAAATATAAATAAATTGTTTTGGGTGGTTATATAAAAAATGGTCTCATTTTTGGGTGGTAATTTACAAATTATCCTTTTTATAATGTTCTTTTATATTTATATGTAATGTTTTTTTTTGTAAGTTATGTTATTTTTTTTTTGACAAGTTATTTATGTTATTTTATTGTATGTAATGTTCTATATTTTATATGTAACGTTCTTTTCTATGTACTCTATGTTCGTTTGTAATGTGTAATAAATTATTATAACAACGATTTTTTATTTATTTATAAGTAATATTGTTTTATTTATAGGCAATGTTCTTTTATTTATAAGTAATGTTCTTCTATTTATAGGTAATGTTCTTTTATTCATAGGGTGATGTTCTTCCGGGTGTACGAAACAATTATTGAATGTTACTTGTATTATATTGAAAAAGGACGTCAAGAAGTAAAGTCTCGAGGGATAATATTCAATAACGAAAAGGATTTATTGTGAGAAATTACCTATTAAAAGCCATATTTTATGAGAAACTACATTATAAAAAATATGTTGTAAGAAACCACCTATTAAAATCAAAATATTATTAAAGACTTCACCAAATTTCCACCGTTTACTAATTTCTCCGGCATTGACATTCTGTATGCCGGTCACGTGACCTTTTAAAAGCATTTTTTCCTTTTAATTTTAATGTCCCACCAGCAGTGACACCTTCCTCACCACCGCCCCACCACCGCACCATTTTGACCCATCACCACGACACCCAAACCTACCTCAAAACACCCCAAAAACCACCCTCACGTATCCCTAAAACTAACACAAGCCCTCACTCCTTCACGATTCGTTGATGCAGCCATCACTGCACCACCACACTACGACTCTACCTCCTAGCGCCGCCAACAATAACACCAGCACACACTTCTTCCTCACTATACATTGCTGCCCATATGTCACAAGGAGCCTTGCTTCCGTGCTCCCCCTACCAAGGCGCAAGCAGCAGCAACACCAATCACCATTATATTCCAACCATTGCACGCTACTCCAACAAAAATAGCGCAGCAACCAAGGCATAAATTGTAGCAATTTCAGCCCGCAAAATAAGACCAAATTAAGAAATCCAAATTGCAATTGTCAAATGGAAGCAGGGGAAAGGGGAAATAATGCAAGGTAAGCAAGGATGGAGAAATTGAGGGATATATGGATGGAATTTTTTTTTTTTTTTAGATAAAAATCATTAGGATGCCCTCCTAATGAGGGGTACTCCTAATATAGTATATACATATATATATATGGATGGAACTGGGATATTGGACATCGATTTGGGGAAAAAAAAGGTGAGAATTTGATTGGTTTAACATCACGTGACCAGCATGTGGGTAGTCAACACCGGAGAAATTGGTCAATTCGACGAAGGGTATTCTCTTACAACATTTTTATTTTAATAGGTAATTTATTATAACATTTATCCATAGTTTCTTACAACATTTTTTTATAAGGTAGTTTCTTACAAAAATTGGCTTTTAATAGGTAGTTTTCGACAAAAAATCCTGTAACTTTTTTATTGAAAAATATTGAAAGCAATATTAGGAAAACATAAACACACTCACATTTTATTCGATAAATTTAAAGTAAAAATACAGAACAAGAGTACGTAATACTTCAACAACAAAACCAGAAAAACTAATTAAAGAAAGTAAACATACAAGGTCAAAGTTCAATATAATTGAAAACATAGTCATCCTTATTCCTTATTAAACAAGCTAACAAGATCACTTAGACCTTGTTTAGTTTACTTTATTTTGGCTGATCTGATCTGAACTTATTTTTGATCTTGAATTATGGATTCATTTGATAGTATGCAAAAGAAAAACCAGCCATCTTAAGTCTTTCTAGCATTTCCTCAAACTGTTTCACCATTGTAGGAGTCAAGTAATTAGTCCAATCACCGACCTCCCCTTTCCTAAAGAAAGCCTTATTCTCAATGCTAGGTTCAATCTTGCCACTCTTGTTGACCTCCATCTCTTTCAAACTTTTAATGCTACAAAGCTCTATTATCTCATCTATAACATTTCCTTTCACTTCCTCCTCCGAAAAAGGGCAACCCACAAAGTCGGCCAACCTTTTCAAAAGATCTCTTGGATCTTTCTTTAGCCCTTAATATTCCATGAACAATACCTTTTCTGGGTTTTTTTTGCTCTCCTTCCAGTAGCTCAACACATGATCTTCATAGGGTCCCCATGGGGAAACACCCGAGCAAAACATTTCTACATATTTTTCCATCATTTCCATATCGGGTTTAACACCCTTACATGCCTCAAACTGTTGATTAAAATGCCAATGTGAAATAAAGGTGTCTAAAGGATTTCGACAAACATTAATAATACGGCATTTTGAAGTCGTTATTGAATCAGGCAATGAGTAATACGGGATGTGGGTACCAAAGAGTCGAGGTGAGGGTAAATTGGACAAGTTTGGTTGTTTTGCATTTATCAAAGGGTTTACATAAAATCAACGATGAAGTTTCGATAAGTATTCCTCCCTCTAGTTCTTGAATCCGGTTAAGTGTTCACCTTTGTTGGTTAAGTTTTAATTATTTTCAAGATTTAATTTTTTTTTTACCCATTTTGCTTATAAATACGTACGGACAATACAACTATTCTCATTTGCTAAAATATTTACCTTCTCCCACATTAATTAATCCTGTTCATAAAGATATTTACCTACTCTGATCCCAACGTAAATATTCCTATTTAAATTTTAATGTTGACGTACTTAACGCTAATAGTTGATATATGTGACATATAGATAAATTTAAAATTCTGACCAATTGACAAACTAATTTAACAACAACCTTGGCATATATAGGTAGATTATAATGACTAAGTGAAGATGTTTACGTTTTTGAATTGTGTCAGTTCTTAGCAACAACGAAATACTAATAAAAATGAACCAAAATCGCAATGCCAAATTAAATGGAAAGCCATGAGGTGTGCGGGATGTAAACCACAGCTTCACAATACCAAGTAGAAAGCCATACACGGTGGTACTTAAACAAAAGTCAATTTTAGTTATTGAGTACTATTCCTCGAGACTTTACTTCTTGATGTACTTTTTCAGTTTAATAATATTGTGTGCAAATTAGAACATATGATCACTTTCCAAACGTGCTTTCCCTTTGCTGAAAGGAGCGCAAGGCTTGGAGGAACTCAGCTTCTCCAAATTCAAGTGCGGAAACTTGGGAGAAGTATAGCTAGATTTGGGCTAGCTGTCACATCATATAATCACTAACACGAAGGCGACCTCTGGTTCCGATGAGCAGATCAGGGTGAGGCGCGCCACGAGTCCATAGCTCTTGATCAAACAAGACCTCATCGACAGCTTTGGGTTCAATCACCCCAGCCTTGACCTTTTCACAAATTTTTTTTTCCTAGTGGCTTGCACTAT